CTTTGGAGCCTATCCTAGAACTTGCTCTGTAGATCAGGCTGGCCTAGAACTCGCAGAGATCCTCCTGTCTCTGCCTCCTGAGTGCTGAGATTAAAGGTGTGTGCCACCAACACCTGGCCTCCAACCAACTCTGTTAAGTGGAATGTGGTTTAGTGACCATGGTATGGTTTAAATGTACTAAAACAGAGGTGTGACTTTGACTTTAGATAGTGATTTTGACATCATTTTGTTCCCTGGCTGTGACTGGTGATGCCTTGTATGGACAGTGGTGATGGCATTGTCTTTGAACCAGAACATCTCTGGTTCTCTGCAGATGATTATGAAATAGGTGGTTGTGAAGCTTGGATTCTAACTGGTTTTTGTTGGATTCACATGGTAGTTATTAAAATTCTGTGAGAATCACTGTAGGTATCTAGTATGATCCTTCATTCAGACCCATTCCCCCAGCTCTCCCTGACCTCATGACTAACCATATAATCAAAGACAACCAACAGTGGATTCAGGTAACATCATGTAAGTATTCCAATTGCCTGATTCCTGAGTTGGGACTATACCTCATCCATACATGCTGAGATGATCCCACTGTTTCTGATTTTCCATTTCAGACTTCCTCTGAGGTAGCAATTCTATACAACTTTTGAGGACAACTGTCTAATTGAAAAGGGTCAGGATTGCTGGTTTGCTTGGTGTGCTGGCTAGTTTTATGTCAGCTTGGCACAAGCTAAGAGTCATTTTGGAAGAGTGAGCCCTAACTGAGAAAATGTTCCTACCAGATTGGCTTCTGGATAATCCTCCAGGGAATTTTCTTGATTGATGATGTAGGAGGGCCCAGCCCACTGTGGGGTGGTGCTAACCTGGGCTGATGGCCATGGATGGTATAAGAAAGCAGACAGAGATGAATTAAGCCCATTCCTCCCCAGTTTTCTTTTGGTCATGATGTTTTCTCACAGCAATAGAAACGAAACCCTAACAAAGATACTTCTATTAGGGGCCATAAGACCTCTTCACATGCCAGAGGTATGTAAATTGGTTCCCATTCATTTATTCATTACTTCTCCTTCCCTCTTCTTCCCCCTTCCTGTTTCTTCTCCTCCACCCCATAAGATGCTAAACATGATTGCTAGCTTATCATACAGGAAGTTTTGAAGATCACTTAGGAACAGTTTGGATATACTTATAGGTGTTGAGTGTATCTGAAATAGTTAGGTCCAGAGTATTTCAGGTTTCAGCGTTTTCTAGTTTTTGGGATGCATACACTGAATGTTATCCCTTAAGCCAAAATTTGAAATCTGCAGTATGACTTTGAATGTGAGTGACTTTAGAGAGATACAATTTTTCCTGTTAAGGATGCTCAAGTTGTATATGCCAGAATATGCTGACATGTGAAACTGAAGCTGAACTGCGCAAACCACACTTTTATACATAAAGAGCATGAAGTACAGTGCACATAATGTGTTTTATTGACTTCACGGCAGAATAGACATGTCTGTTAAAACTCCCCTTTAGGGTTTATTAAATATAATCTTGGTAACCTGTTTCGATAGAAAAGGCTTTTCTGCATGTTATCATAGTGAAGATGTTAAAGACTTCTCAAAGCATCAGAGTAGTGGTGTCTCTGGCTAGCATCATTGTGTGCATGTTCAGTCAGGGAGAATGCCTTTCTGAGGATGGGCAGGTATACTACATATTCTTAGGCACCTAGTTGTTGACTGTGCTTTGAGGGGGAGGGGTCTTACTTCACATGTTGTTTTTTGGTAGTAAGAAGAAGCATGCTCTCATTTCAGTGTGATGAGGGTTGCCTCAGTCTCATTTAAAGTAACAAGTAACAATTAAAAGAATGCAAGCTTGGGGATTTCTGTCCTATTTCTTTCAATAAATCACAATGCTGCCGGGCGGTGGTGGCGCACGCCTTTAATCCCAGCACTCGGGAGGCAGAGGCAGGCGGATCTCTGTGAGTTCAAGGCCAGGCTGGACTGACAGCCTCCAAAACAATACAGAGAAACCCTGTCTGGTAAAACAAAAAACAAACAAACAAACAAAAAAATCACAGTGCTTTGTTTTTAGAAGGATGTAATGTTTACATTTCAAACTTCATTTTATTGCCATTTTTAGCTAACAGGTTTACAGTTTTGTGGTAAATGGAAGCATTTCTTTGGTAGTATCCTTTTGTTTTGTTTTGTTTTCAAGGCAGGGTTTCTCTGTTTAGCCTTGGCTGTCTTGGGCTCACTCTGTAGGTCAGGCTGGCCTTGAACTCACAGAGGTCTGCCTGTCTGTCTTCCGAGTGCTGGGATTAAAGGCATGTACCACCAATACCTGCTGGCAATGTTCTTACAGTGTGTTCCCAAGTGGGTGCTCCCCCCCCTTTTCTTTCCTGTCTTTCTCTCTTCCCCTCCCCCCTGTGGTGGTGTAGGTGTGTGTCTTGTGTATGTAGACGCCAAAGATTGTTGCTGGGTATCTTCCTAGTCAGTTTTTCACCTTATTTTCTGAGAGTTTGTCACTAAATCTGGAGCCATTTTAGCAAGGCTGGCTGGCCAGTGAGCCCTAGGAATCTTCCTGCTTTTCCCTAGTGCCAGGCTTTGAGGTCTGTGCTACCACATCCTGTGTTTATATGGGTGCAGAGGATTAGAGCTCAGGTCTTGATGCTTATGCGACAAGTACCATTTGAGGTATCTCCTTAGCTCGAAAGTAAACTTTTGCATTTGTTTGTTGTTTCTCTGTGCTTGTATGTTTGGGTTCATGTGTGTAGTTAGTTTTTCCCTCCAAGATGTAGGCTCTGGGAATCAAACTCAGATCATCATGTTTGGTGCGAGGTCCTTTTCACTCACTGTGTCATATTGGTGGCCCCAGAGCATACTTTTAAAGGCAACAGAAAAGGTATTTCTGATATTATAAAATGGAGTCATATTTAGTAAGAATAGCTAAAATTAGTAATAAAATACGAATCAAGGCATTGGAATTTTTAGTTTATGAGGAAGAAGATTATGTTTTTCTAAATTTTATTTTTAATTATATATTGGAATGTACATGGGAGTGCCATGCTGGCATGGGTCAGAAGAAGACTTGGGATCTGCTGGAGCTGGAGTTACAAGGAGTTATCAGCTGCTTTCAGTGGTGCTGGGAACCTGATCAAGTCCTCTGCAAAAATAGCAAGCATTCTTAATTGTTGAACCATCCATCTCTTTAGCCCTAGAAGCTCAGGTTTTAAGAGTTGACAAGTATTGGGTCAGTTCCCATGGATGAAGTGATAATAAATTAAAAGAGTTTGATATTTATTATTTCATTTTAGAACACTTGGTGGCCCTTTCTGTTTTGAATAGAAGTTCCTTAGATACTAAATAGTAGTTTAAGTATTTCAGTGAGCACACTAAGGGACAATGGAATGAAGCTATTTTCCTTTACCTCTTTCAGCTCTACTAGTTACTGAAAAATGCTGGAGTTGTTGGTTAGTTTGGTTTTCTTGTGGTACTGGATATTGAACCTGGGCCTCACATTGTTGGCAGAGGAACACTTGACTAATGAACTATAACCCATCAGAAATTTAAGTTCTTTTTATCTAAGGGAGTCAGCTGTATATTATTTCTCTTTTAGTAGTTTGATTTCTTTTAAAACATTTTATTTTCTTTATTTTATGAAAGCATTGATATTTTCCCTGCATGTATGTGTAGTCCCCTGAAACTGAGGTTACAGACACCTGTGAGTTACTTTGTGGGTGCTGGGAATTGAACCCAGGTCCTCTGGAAGAGCAGCCATTGTTCTTAACCACTGAACCATCTCTACAGTCCCATAACTTGATTTCTTAAACATTCTTTTTTTTTTTTTTCTGTTATCTCAGAGGATGATGATTTCTGTTAAAATTTTTACTTCTTGAAGTAAGTTTGCTTCATGGCTGTAGCTTCGGGTTATGTTTAGTAAATAACAAAGAGTAGTATCTTTGACAAAATAAATGCATTGCATGTCCAAAATAGACCCGTTTAGTTTTTTGAATTCATGGAATATGAGTATCAACAGTTGTATAGTTTTGAGTAAACCTTGGGGGCAGCTATGACTCTCTGTAATATATACTTCTTTTGGGTCACCAACCAGCTCCCAAAGTCAAGACATGGAGACTTTATTAGTTATGAACGCTCAGCCTTCTTATGTTTGTCCCACTAGCTCTTCCAACTTAACCGGTTTCTCATGATCTGTTTTGCCTAGAGGCCTGTCTCTCTGTCTGTGTCTCCCTCCCTCCCTCCCTCCCTCCCTCCCTCCCTCCCTCCCTCTCTCTTTCTCTCTCTCTCTCTCTCTCTCCCCCTCTCTTTCTCTGCCCCCTCCCTCCTCCCCCCTCCACCTCTCTCTCTCCCTCTCCTTATGGCTGGTAACTGTCAGGCTTCTGGCCCTGGGTGTGTCTTTCTCCTCTCCTAGATTTTTTTCTACATATTCTTTCTGTTCACCAGCCCCGCCTATCCTCCTGCCTAGCTATTAGCCATTCAGCTTCTTTTTAGACTAATCAGGTGCCTTAGGCAGGCAAGGTGAAACAATTGTAACACCTATACACAGTTAAAGTAATATTCTGCAACAGCTGTCTAGTAATGTTAAAATCCTGAATTAATATCTTGATGTTGTATTTTGATTCTTGACTGCTTTATTATGGCAAAATCATTTTTTATGTAATGTCATTTACATTTGTACATATGTATTTATCTTCATTAATGTGCATATGTAGAGAGACAAGAAAAAGAAGTAGGCTGTTCATAAGAAATGAATATTGTTAAGTTTGGGATTATCACTGGGTGGTGGCGGCGGCGGTGCACGCCTTTAATCCCAGCTCTTGGGAGGCAGAGGCAGGTGGATCTCTGTGAGTTTCAGACCAGCCTGGTCTATAAGAGCTAGTTTCAGGACAGCCTCCAAAGCCACAGAGAAACCCTGTCTCAAAAAGGAAAAAAAAAAAAAAAAGCTTGGGATTATGTGTATATTCTGAAAACTACATGATGCTTTTAATCTTGTTTTCCATTGTTCTTTAGGGGCCTCCAGAATTTCCACAGCACACACCTGGACCTGTTCCCAACAGTTTTAATCAACCACCTCGACTTCCTCTCCAGGACCAGTGGAGAGCCCCACCACCCCCTCAGGAACGAGACCCTTTCTTCTTGGGAGGTACATGAAGGGGCATGATGGACACAGGAGGAAGTGATAAAGCTGCATTGAGTGGTGGACCTGTATGGTTACTGCTAAAACAGACTCTTCCCTCCCACTGAGAGATAGGCATAGTTTATCAGTCATTGCAGTGGCTAAAATTAGACAGTAATTCCATCTGAAATGTGACAGTCTTGTACAAAGAAGGAAATGTTTATAGAAAACGGCCCATGAAACCTTCTGAGATAGCTAAAATCTATAATTCTTTAAAGAATATGCTCCTAACAGTTGGGAATAGTGAGGTGGTTTCTTAAAATCCTTGTTTGGGAAGTGTGTGGTCTTCCTTCCTTGAGACAGGGTTTCTCTGTGTAGCTTTGGAACCTGTCCTGGAACTTGTTCTGTAGACCAGGTTAGCCTCGAACCTGCCTTTGCCTCCTCAGTGCTGGGATTAAAGATGTGCGCCACCAACGTCCAACTTTTTTTTTTGAGGGGTGGTCTTTCTAACCTTAGGGTAATGCTGTGTTACTATTCAGTTTCAGGTGAACCAAGGTTCCCCAGTCATCTTTTCTTGGAACAGCGAAGTCCTCCACCACCTCCTCCTCCCACGCTCCTGAACAGCAGCCATCCTGTTCCCACTCAGAGTCCCTTACCATTCACTCAGCCTGGACCAGCATTTAATCAGCAAGGACAGCAGCCAGTGTTCCCTAGAGAGAGGCCTGTAAGACCAGCCCTGCAGCCCCCAGGCCCAGTAGGGATCCTGCACTTTAGCCAGCCAGGGTCAGCAACTGCCAGGCCTTTCATTCCTCCTAGACAGCCGTTCCTCCCCAGCCCTGGACAGCCGTTCCTGCCTACACATGCACAGCCTAACCTCCAGGTATGCCATGAACCAGGCTTGAGGGAAGCTATCTGTATTTTGTGTTTCATGAAAGGGAAGTTTCAGGTTTTAGTTGTTTCTGCTAAATTATGGTTCTGTAAAGGGCATGAGTAGTAGTCTTAAGTATACTGTTTGTTACAGCCAGCTTTCTTGACAATTTCCTGAATATGAAAAAGTGGTTCTCATTCCCCTACGCTGAACTTTGTCACCCTTGGGATTTTTAAGGGTGACTTTTAACACAGACTACTGTACCTAACATTAAAGTATGTCCTGATGGTGCGTTTGCTCATCTTGTGCAGTAATTTTCCCCCATGTCATGTTCATGCTAGGGAGAGGAAATGGGCTGGGAACACTACAGCTTCTCACTCTGTATGTGACAGTCTTGTGCGCCCTCTACTGGTAGATGTTTATTGGCCAGTACAAGTATTTGTGACATTTTTTCATACCTGGTTTGTTTGTTTATGCTTGATTTTTACCTTATCAAGATACATAGTGATCAAGAAAGATGCAGTGGCATTCCTTAGTCCCATCAGCTGGGAGATGTTGCCTATCGACAAAGGGGAGAGAGAATGTTGGTAATAGTACACTTGACTCAGCTGTTTAGATTTGTAGACTATAAGAATGTGCAAGCGGGGTGGTGGTGGCGTGGGCTCGAGAGATGGCTCAGTTGTAAAGAATACTTGCTGCTCTTCCAGAGGGTGGGATTCAATCACTAGCATCCACAGTCACCACAACTCCAGTCCAGGGGATCCAGAGTCTTCCTCTGGCTACAGTAGCCTCCATACATGCTCATGGTACATAGACATTCATTCATCTAAAATACGTGTATATATAAGTCGATTATTAAATATCATATCTAGGCTTGCAAAGATAGCTTAGCATGTAAAAGTACCTGCTGTCAAGCCTGAGCACCCAAGTTTGACCCCTGGAACTCAACGTGTAGAAGGAAAAAACTGACTCTAAAGTTGTCTTCTGACCTCCATGTACATTGTGGCACAAGTTCATGTTGGTACACATACTCACATATCTACACAGCTAGTTTAGCAATAAGTTAACAAAATTAAAAAAATGTTTTAAAAGAATATTTAAGCCCAAAAGAAAATATAAATATTTTCAGTGTTCAAAGGGGGTTAAATATTTTGGATTTTTTCCTAAAAATGTAAATGCTTTCCCTTCTGTTATAGAAATATTATAATATAGGTGAGTTTAAAGAAACTAAATAATTCCATTACCAAGCATCAGTTGCCATGAACATGTATGGGGCATGCCTTTTTTTAGTAGGGAAGCAGTGTGTCCTTGTCTGTGTACTTTTTTCCTCGTTTACATAGTCACTATGGTCTTTCTAGCCTATTGGTCTGTCTTCACTGTACCATCTGAGCATGCTGTAGAAGATTACCTTTTATGACGGTGACTAAGGTTTAGGCAAACAAAGGAAGAACCACCAGCTGATTGCTGCATTTACGATGCTATTCTAAACGAGAAGCTTCTTAGGCTGAGGTTTTTAAGGAAACCATTGGGATGATATCTGCCTAACACATCTGTTTATAAGCTGTTCTCTCTCTCTCTCTCCCTCTCTCTCTCCCTCTCTCCCTCCCTCTCTCCCTCCCTCCCTCCCTCCCTCCCTCCCTCCCTCCCTCCCTCCCTCCCTCCCTCCCTCCCTCCCTCCCTCCCTCCCCACCTGTCTGTCTCTCTCTCTCTCGGAATGGAAGGGACCCTTGCATCCTCCGTTGCCTCCACCCCATCAACCACAGCCCCAGCCGCAGCAGCCGCAGCAGCAGCCTCAGCATCACCAGCACCAGCCACCCCTCCAACCTCCTCTCCAGCCTCCACATCAGCCTCCCCCACAGCATCAGCCTCCCCCTCAGCATCAGCCACAGCAGCACCAACATCACCATCACCTTTCTGCTCCTCCCCCTCCTCTGATGCCCATGTCTCAGCCGCAGTTCAGGCCACATGTGCAGACTGCTCAGCCTCAGCCCAATAGCAGTCGGATGCAGTGTACCCCACGTCAGGGGCTACGGCATGTGAGTATCATGTGACTTAATTTAGACTTCCTGAAGTAGATCATTTTCCAGCTGTCTTTTTTATTAATAAATATACAATATATTTTTTCAAAATAAAACTATGATTGTGTTTAGAACTCTTTGGAAAAAAATTTAGACTAATATTTACTACTTTGATATAGTTGAGTTTTCTGTAGTGATTAGACAATACTGTTAAGTGGTAGTCATTCTGCCAGTGCAAACAGCTTAGCCTTTGCTACAGATTATCTGCCTCGGGGTTCTGTTGCGGGAAATTAACTTGCATTTGTTTGTGGTGGTACATTTTACACGACTGTCAGCAAATATGGGTCTTGTCATGCATTGAAAGAAACTGGGAGGGGATAGATTGCTATGAGAGTAAAATGTAGCTGCCATTGCCTTGTCCTCCATTAGTAACTGACATTACTTTCTCTTTCAGGACAAAACGTATATTGCTAACATTCCTGGCCATAGTCTTCCTGTACTTTTATCCTCACAGTTTGAGCAAGTCACTGAGCTGCTTTGAACCTGTCTTCCTAACCCTGCCTCTTTATCTTAGCATTAATCACATGAAAGCGTTAAGCAGATTTCTAGGCTGAAGAGAGGCATGTGTGAGTAGGTTCACAGCAATGGCAGCAACTCAGTCCCTCCCTGACTCAGCCGCCTCTATCCCTTGCTGTATGGGTTCTTTTCCAGGCGTGTCCAGGTGAAAGTAACTGAGATTCTTCTTGTGGTAGAACTTTGTGGCACCTTTCTCCTCCAGAGAGCTGTTTATAAGATTGAAACATGGTGTTAGGTTTCCCTCTTCCAGTTTAATGATGAAGTAGATACAATATGCCATTGATACATTTGGGTGCTTGAAGTTTTTTTGTTGTTGTCTTCACCCAGAATGTTGTTAAAAATGTCAGTTCATATACTGAAAAACCACCAGGTTTGACTATTATAAATGAAAGCCCTATCTTTACAGAAGCACTCCTAAGCATCAGGGCACACAGCAACATTTGTGTTTGCCAGAGTAAGGGAACCTCTCAGAAGAGAAGGCAATTATTATGACAGCGATCCCTTGTGGTTTTACTCACTCGTGTTTCTTTTTGTGACAGAGTGCATCATCTCAGAGTATAAGTAAACGACCCATGCAACAGATGCAACCCACGGCTCCCAGAAACAGTAATCTGCGCGAACTCCCCATAGCACCTTCACACGTATTGGAAATGAGTGGTAATCGCTGTTCCTCCACACCTGCAGCTCAGGTGAAGCCCATTGTCAGCACTTCCCCACCCTGCAGGGCTGCGGTGACTTCTAGGAGCTCACAGGGAAAAACAGATGCAAAAGTCAAGCCGCTTAGCCCTGGGGTTCAACCTAAGGAAGAAGCCAAAGCAGAACCAGAGGTAGGACCTCTTTCCTGGGACATGTTTGTTCTAGAATAGGGAGCCTGACTGTCAATATGTTCTGCTTAATTCACTCATCCAGAAACTCCCCGAGTATTCCCCCCAAGTAGATTCCTCTTTTAGCCTAGTAGACATGTTCATAAAAGATACTCTTACTGCTGGGGGATATAGCTCAGTGGCAGAGCACCTTAAGCAGCTTGTATTTTCATTCCCTGGCGTATGTATGGTTACTCTGACATTCTCATTAGGGTTATGATCTTAACGTTTTTATATTTTTACAGTTATTCCTGTATTATATAGAATCAATGTATATCCAGGTTTAGCAGATATTTTCTTTGAAGGACCCCAAATTCTATAAATGTCCTAAACCAGCATAATCACTCACCTCTGCCAATGTGTCTCAAGGTGGTTTATAAATAGTTCTTACAGGAACAGATGTGTTGCATATTAGTAAACCTTACTCACAAAACCAGGTAGTTCTTTGGCCTTACTTATATTTGATAATAGGTGTGGAGCAATAATAATATGTGGTCTTCAATTTTGAGGTCCTTGTCCTCTCACAAGCTTCACCTTTCTTAGCTGTTATATGAGGATGAAATAAAAGTAAGGTAGGGTATACCTGGGAGCTGGACACAGACAAGTATAGTGAGCACCAGTAAAATCCTTGCTGAATGTAACAAAGCAATTGATTATTATAGTGTTCAGTGTAGTGATACCAGGGAGCATTGCCTTAAGTAAGAATTTAAGAAATTCATCCTTTGTTGTAAAAACCAGTTTATACTTTTTTTGGTCTTTTAATTAGGTTTTTGTCATTCAGGTTTTCTTCTGATAAATGATTATGATGGTTTTAATTATATATCACATTAAAATTAGGAAGTCAGAATGTTTGGATGTCGTTGAATAAATTGTCATTACAAAGGTGATTGTCGGCTTCATAGACAGTGTATGTAAGAAAACTGTAATGGAGTAGTTTATAAAGAGTTCTTTGTGAGCTGGGTCTTGGGTTTCACTCTTACAGTCTTAGGTACTCTGAAGGCTGAGGCAGAAAAATCACTAGTTCAAGGCTTCTCACACTTAAAAATAAAAGTAATAAGAGATTAAGGACATACACACACACTAACAAATGGTTCTTCGCCAAAAATTTGATAGTACTTTTGGTTTATATAACTAGCTTAGAACTTGTATTCATGTTCAGTCTGGTTCACATACACATTTCTTATGTAATAACAGTGACTAACACAAGGAGAGGAACAATCGGCCATGTTTATTCATTTCGCTTTAGACTTACCACGAATTCTTATCATGGGCAGATAATTCATGAAAATAAAATGGAAAGTTGACAGGTTTCAGTGATACAGGTTGAATGCCTTAATTTGTTTTAGTTTGGTTTTTTGTATATATAAGTTGTATCAGGCTTATATTTTCTTCTTTTAAAGAAATACATTTATTTTGCTTAGCTAAAGGTGACTTAACGACTTAGATTCATTTAGTTGGTATTGGTTCAGTAAGAAATAAATCTAACGTATTTTTATGTATATCTTTGAACTTACTTTAACCCTTTTTGGACTGCTTGGGAAACAAACAAGTGCTGATGATCTATGCCTGTGTTAGGAAATACTGATGATTTATGCCTGTGTTAGGAAATGGTGCATCTGGATCCTGCTCTTGCATCCTTTGCTGTTGGACTGCGGGTTTCTTACTCAGGCCTGCTGAGTAACAGTCTCTCTTACCTACCTTTAATTTGGTTTGAAATATATCCAAGGCTTTGACTTTAGACAAGTAGCAGGTCAGCCCATGCCAGCAAGTCCTGGGTACCCACTCAACTCTCCAGCTCTGTGCGTGTCTTACGTTTCTAATTCTTGAGATTTATGCAGAATAGGCAAGATTTGTAATTAGGTGAATTCTAGATAGATTGAATCATATTCCTCTGTAAAGACTGGATAAATGATTTTAAAGAACATTACTTTTGTCATTGGATTCCTTAGTAAAAATTTTACTGGACTTCTGAAAGGAATTCTCCATATAGATTTTTAGTGTAGTTTGGGTCTGGGATATTCAGGGCATCCACTTTCCATTAATAGGGATATTCAAGGCATCTACTTACCATTAATATTCCAATACTGCGATAGGCAGCGTTTTGATTCTGAGGAGAGTGTGTGAGTTCAAGGTCAGAAAGATTGACTTGTGCTGTTCATTATAACCAATTATTCTGTGACAAATGAGTTTGAGATCAGGCTGAAAATTCTGTACGAAAAAATCAATAGTTCTAATCAGGGCCTTTCAGGTCATTTATACCCCACCTTTTGTTGGTTTGTCAGGGAAGAGCCAGATAAAACCCCTGTGACAGCAGGGACTCATGACTGTTGCCATTCCCATTCGAAATGTATTTTGATATCTTAAATGAATAGTTTAATTGGTTTCAAACTTGTAAATGAGTGGAAATTTACATTATTTCATTTTTAATATTCTGATAAGATTTTTCCAAATTAGGTTTAGCTGTATAATTTTTCCCCTCCCAAGAGGAAAGAGTTATATTTCTTGTTAAGCAGATTTTTCAGATGCCTTCTTTCAAATACTGAATTAAAGGTTTGGAGGAAATTCATTTGTTTGAGATGACCACCCTACCCTGTGAAGCAAAATAAACCATGTTTTCCATTTTAGTTCCCTGATGAAGATGAAGAGACAAGGTTGTATCGCTTAAAGATAGAGGAGCAGAAGCGCCTGAGAGAAGAAATCCTGAAGCAGAAGGAATTACGAAGGCAGCAGCAGGCTGGTGCCAGAAAGAAGGAGTTACTGGAAAGACTTGCGCAGCAGCAGCAGCAGCAGCAACAGCAACAGCAGCAGCAACAGCAACAGCAGCAGCAGCAGCAGATCTATGGCCCACAGACCACAGTGGAGCAAGAGGAGCTGGCAGCTACATCATCACCCACAAACGGTAGCCCACTGTTGCCCTTTCCAGGGCCACAGTGCAGACAAAACGTGAAAACCAGACTTCTTGTTAAAAACCAAGATGTCAACATTGCTAATGTTCAGCCCAAGGCAGCAAACTTTGTCCCGCCTGGTGCTAACATGCAGCACCAAGGGCAGCATGTGAGACCACTGAAGCATCTACGACAGCTGCCACACAAGGTCCTCCAGGTGAAGCCCATGGACATGGAGGAGGCCCCCCACTCCCCTCAGGCATCTAGAGTGACATCCCTCCAGGGCCGGCCTCAGGACTCCAAGCCAGGGGTGAAGAGGACTGTCATGCACAGGGCCAACAGTGGAGGTGGTGGAGATGGGCCACATGTCAGCTCCAAAGTCAGGGTGATTAAGTTGTCCGGAGGGGTAAGTTGACAAATTTTATGCATTTCTTTGGAAATTTGTTTGCCTTAGTCTCCACAAAAGAATGGAAGCTAGTGTTATGTAGATTAGCCAAAGCTCAAGGTAAGTATGAGGACTGCCTTTCAAGGTCTGCTTCCATCTGGACCTGTATTGTCTCAGCTGTCTTGAGTTTAGTGAGCAACCAGTGTGACATCCTGCCGCTGCATACTTCTCACTTTTATTCTTTCATAAATAAGTGTAATGACTGACAATTGGAGAAAGTTTTATTATAGGGCAGAAGTGACTTCTTAGAGCTAACTCCTTTACTGTTGTCTAACCCAGAATATATGTAACTGAATCTAAAGTGTCTAGTAGTCTCTTGCTTCTGGTGATCATTCTCTAGCCAGGATATGAGCTTCCTGCTCAAGAACTTGTCTTTGTGTTTGGCTATAGCCAGCTGTTCTTAGGAACCTCACACCAGGTGGGAATGTCTAAGTTTCCTTCGCTGCTGTGCGTTACAACTTGTGAGACTGCTCTGATTCATAGTGGGTATCTCTTATCTTCCATAGCTTGCTTAAAAGTCAAATCATTTATCATCACATTTTGTTTTGTCTTTTGAGACAGTCTTATATAACCCTGAACTTGCTATGTAGTTTGAATTCCTGATATTCTTACCTGCATCACCAGATACTAGAATTAAAGGGGGATGCTACTATACCTGGCTTTCTTAGGGTTTTTTTCTAAGCTAGATTTTGTGAAAGATGAAGAGCCTGAGTCTAATACTTTTTTGTTGTTGTTGTTGTTGGGGTGTTTTTTTTGGGGGGGGTTCAAGACAGGGTTTCTCTGTATTGTTTTGGAGGCTGTCCTGGAACTCGCTCTGTAGACCAGGCTGGCCTCGAACTCACAGAGATCCACCTGCCTCTGCCTCCCGAGTGCTGGGATTAAAGGTGTGCACCACCAACGCCCAGCTGACAGTAGGTTTTTTGTTTATTTAATTAAATATGCAGTGTTCTGCCTGCACGCCAGAAGAGGGCACCAGATCTCGTTACAGATGGTTGTGAGCCACCACCATGTGGTTGCTGGGAATTGAGCAAGGACCTCTGGAAGAGCAAACAGTGCTCTTAACCTCTGAGCCATCTCTCCAGCCCGACAGTAGTTTTTTTTTGGTTTTTTTTTTTTTTTTTTGAGTTAGATTTTGAGTTTATTTTTGGTTGTTCATATTCACAAAACATTTACTGTTGTCAAGTTTGGCAAGGGCCCTGTGCTGGCTAGTTTGTGTCCACTTGACATGGGCTATAGTCATCTGAGAAGAGGGAAAGTCAATCGAGAAAATGCCTCTGTACGACCAAGGCATTTTCTTTTTTTTTTTTTTTAATTAATATTTTTTTTATTTTCCATTTTAAATTTAGATAAGAAACAAGGTTGCTTCACAAGTCAGTACGAGGTCCCTCTCCCTTTCCCTCCCCTCCTCCCGTGCCCTCCCCCCCATCCCCCCCTCCCGTTATCCCCTCATTCCCCCAGGGAGGGTGAGGCCCTCCATGGGGGTGTCCATAGTCTGTCATTTCATATAGGGCGGGGCCTAGACCCTTCCCCAAGAGTTCAGGGTGAGAGTGCACCTCACATTGTTCTATGGGAGTCCAGAGACCTTGTGTATACTTGGGATGGGTACTGATCTGCTGTCCAAGGCTCAATAGATTACCTAGGCCTCCTCACTGACACCCAGATTCAGGGGGTCTTGATCAGTCCCATGCTGGATTCCCAGGCTGATGCCTGGGATTCAAGAGTTAACCTTTGTCTGGTCAGCTGTTTCTGGGGGTTCAACCAGCCCAGTCTTAATCCCTTTGATCATCAGTCCTCCCTCTCTGATACTGGCTTTCTTGAGTTCAGCTCAGTACTTAACCAGCCAGTAAATGAAGTTTCTGTTTCCCAGACTCTCTGGCAATAGGATTGTAGGCTGGCACTCCCCAGATCTATGTCTAAAATCCATATATGAGAGAGTACATGCCATGTTTCTCTTTTTGTGACTGGGTTACCTCACTCAGGATGGTTTCTTCTAGTGTCATCCATTTGCCTGCGAATCTCATGATTCCATTATTTTTTTCTGCTGAATAGTACTCCATTGTGTAGATGTACCACATTTTCTCTATCCATTCTTCGGGTGAGGGACATCTAGGTTGCTTCCAAGTTCTGGCTATTACAAATAAAGCTGCTATGAACATAGTGGAACAGACATCTTTGTTATATGAATGGGCATCTTTTGGATATATGCCTAAGAGTGCAGTTGCTGGGTCTTGTGGTAGGTTTATTCCCATTTTTCTGAGGAATCTCCATACTGCTTTCCAAAGTGGCTGAACCAGTTGGCACTCCCACCAGCAATGGAGGAGTGTCCCCCTTTCACCACATCCACTCCAGCATAAATTGTCATTGGTGTTTTTGATTTTAGCCATTCTGACAGGAGTGAGATGGTATCTCAGAGTTGTTTTGATTTGCATTTCCTGGATGGCTAAGGATGTTGAGCACTTTCTCAAGTGCCTCTCAGCCATTTTAGACTCCTCTATTGAAAACTCTCTATTTAGTTCTGCAGCCCACTTCTTAATTGGGTCCTTTGCTGTTTTGGAGACTTGCTTCTTGAGTTCTTTGTAAATTTTGGAGATCAACCCTCTGTCAGATGTGGGATTAGTGAATATTTTTTCCCATTCTGTGGGCTGCCTTTTTGTCTTGCTGACTGTGTCCTTTGCCTTACAGAAGCTTCTCAGTTTCAGTAGGTCCCATTTATTAATTGTTGATCTCACTGTCTGTGCTACTGGTGTTATGTTAAGGAAGCTGTCTCCTGTACCAATTCTTTCAAGGGTACCACCCACTTTCTCTTCTAAGAGGTTCAGTGTGGCTGGATTTATGTTGAGGTCTTTGATCCATTTGGACTTAAGTTTTGTGCATGGCGATAAACATGGATCGATCCGCATTTTTCTACATGCCAGTCTCCAATTATGCCAGCACCATTTGTTGAAGATGCTTTCTTTATTCCATTGTATATTTTTAGCTTCTTTGTCAAAGATCAGATGTTCGTACGTGTGTGGGTTAATACCCGGATTTTCAATTCGATTCCATTGGTCTGCCTGTCTATTTTTGTGCCAATACCAAGCTGTTTTCAGGTTTTTTTTTTTTTTTTGGTTTTTACGAGACAGGGTTTCTCTGTATTGTTTTGGAGGCTATCGGTCCAGCCCGGCCTCGAACTCACAGAGATCCGCCTGCCTCTGCCTCCTGAGTGCTGGGATTAAAGGCGTGCGCCACCACTGCCCGGCCCGACAGTAGGTTTTTAAGGCTTGTCTTTTCTTTAATTATGCTACCTTTAAGGCCTGTTTTCATTCATCTTAAGGTAATTTCTAGTTGTTGTGTGTTGGTCATATTTATTGAAATTATTTGGGTTCTCTTTATTAAAACTTTTGCATTGTGGTATCAGAAAACATTCCTAAAGATTTCATAAGAATGATTTCTAGATATTGTTTCTTATGTAGTTGTGATGGCTGTGTCACTGTCCATTTATTTCTGGAGGAAAATGGTGCATTTTGTACAAGACTTGTCGTTGGCATCTTACCTGGAATTGACTACTCTGAAACTCATTTTCATAGCACAGAGCTTGAAGCTCTCCTCTAGGGTCTCAAGCTAACTTTCTTTTGTGGCCATGTGACACACATAGAAGCTTTCTAGCTTTGCGTGCAGAAAACCCATGTTTGGGTAGTTGTCCATCTTGGCTGCTTCTGGGACACTAAACAATCTTTTCTTTTTTCCTCCCCTCTGAATCTCAATTTCCTGTGTATAAATGGGCTTCATCCGGTTGCTGGAGGAGTTGTAGGAGAAGGCTGACAGCAGATGGAGGTGTCCCTGAGGTCCTGAAGGAGTCTGTGCTTCCTGCTGGCATTTGCAGTGGCTACTGTCTGTCCAGAGTTGGTCATGCACCCCAGCCCATGAGGCAAGCAGAAGTGCATTTTCACTTCACAGAGAGCAAACTGAGTCTCAGGGAGGTCGTGGGACCCACCTGATGCCACATAACAAAGCAGTAGGGCCAGATGTCTAGCCAGGTTTAATTCTGAGTCTTGACCTATTTAATGATAAAAGCTAAAATGAAAAACATAGCTAAAGTGAAATATATAGAAAGTTTATTTACTGTGGACTGCTGGAGTCATCAATCATTCTTTCTGATGAAGCACAGAAACAAATAATTGTGTGCCTGGGAGAAAAGCCCTGTAGCCTCATCTGGCTCATAGGAGATGACATTCAATTCACCTCTGAGTGACCTTGGTGACTGGGATTGATTGAACTCCTTTGCTTACCAGTAAAATGCGGGCCTGGTCTCCTTTCAGGATCTTGGAGGAGGGTGACTGTGTCCCATAGGACATGGCCATTGCTCAGTAAACATCACAACACCATTCTTTGGTTGAGGAAAGAAAGAACAGGTTAGTGTCAGGAAAACAGGCAGATTTTATTCTGACCCAGGTTATGAAAATTTTAGAAATTAGGCACAAATGAAGTCAACAGTTGTTGGTTCTGTAGGCACATAGAACAGTGGGGAAACTGCAGGATCCCCCAGCAGGAAAGCCAGCTGTTTGGCTGTGGCTCTTTTGTATTTGTTTGTTTTGTTTTTAGATTTATTTATTTCATGTACAGTATTCTGCCTGCATGCCAGAAGGGGACACCAGATCTCATTATAGATATGAGCCACTATGTAGGTGCTGGGAATTGAACTCAGGACCTCTGGAAGAGCAGCCAGTGCTCTTAATCTCTAAGTCACCTCTCCAGCCCCATGTATTTATGTTTAAAGGATATCAAAATACTACTTGTGGAAGGTCCCAGTTTATCAATGGGTGCTTGCTTTGGAAAGTTGGGTGAATTTGTCCGTCTCTTCCTCCATCCTTGTCATCTCTAGACCTCCTTTAGAGAGGCAGTGCATGGGTCCCTCTCTCTGTGGGTCATGGCACGATGTACTTTGTTACATCTTCAATGAAAGAGAAGTTCTGAGGCTTTGC